CCCCCCCCCCCCCCCCGGTCCTTGAAAAAGTGTTTGTGCTTGAAACTGGTCCCTGGTACAAAAAAGGTTGGGGACCACTGCCCTAGCAAATAGAGTAGCTTTTTTCATAGATTACAAATGACCAAAGATTGCAGAGAACACTTTTACTTTATGTTCCAAGGAGAGCTGCTAAATTCTACTTGCTATACACATTTGACCAGAGTGTATAGAGCTCACCCTTGCCAAACATACATTACCCATTTCTCCCAGCAACCAGAATTAGCATAACCACTTACTTTTAACAGTGAAACAGCACAAACATAGAACCACCCTTTGTGTCAAGAAACTGTATATACTCTCATCACTTCCATTACCTCCTACTTTAAAAGGAGCCATTGTTTCTCAGAATTAAAGCCAATAACATTGGTTTCTCTCACTTCCTCCTCTTTAGGAGCTGTGCAAATGCATACTGTGTTGTCAAAAGAACTGCAGCGTGTTTGTTTTGGGGTGGAATGCAACCCTTGTCACTCAGAGCACCAAGAGCCATCCACTTGTTCCACAAGATGACCCTTTATCTGTTCCAACATTCCCTACCCACAGCAACCAACCAGAAGCCTCTAGGAAGCAAGATAAATACGTTTATGTTGTTATTCTTCCACAGGAACTGGTAAACCTAATGTCTACAGTGCCGTAAATAAGATATGACTATTGTAACCAGTACCTTTTTATAGCTGTATCATCTACAAGTTGCCTAATTGTCCTGTAAATGTTGAGTTTATTGAAAACAAAATGAAGATGAGAAAATGGCAATGTTGCTTTAAAATATGGCAGTACCCATTTTAAAATATATTTTTCTCCTTTAAATGTAATATTTAACTTGTGCTGCATTAATAATAATGTAATATTAAGCATGCAAAACTCAAACATTAGGATCTTTTGGATAAATCGGGCCATTTCAAGATCTTACAGAAGAAACTAGGAAGAGGAAGGGTCAAAATGGAAAATCTTTCCCTTAATAGGGATGGAGGCCTCAAATACAACCTGTACCCCCATTTTTTAATGCTGCCCTTTCATTAGACCCCAGAAAGACTAAGACCACTTCAAAGATTCACCAGGGAGGCCACTCTTAACAATCTACCTAGGGGTAAGGATTTAGAAATTGGAACATTTACATCCCAATGAATTTTTGCTTACTCATCTATTGAGCCTGTCCAGATTAGGTGAGAAATGAAACTTCCCTGGAGGACATATACATAGTCCCCCTAACCAACTTGCTCAGATTGAAGAAGCTACTTGAATAAACAGTAAAACCTTTTGAACTAACAGGAAAAGAAGTCCAGTTGCTACTGGATTCAGCTTCCAGACAACTCAACCTGGATGACTGAGAATCTTCACCACAAACGTACTTCAATTGCGTATGTTAAGATGTTAGTTTCTTGGACAATTTCCAGGCCGAAAAATAACAACACATTATCCATTCATTAAAACCACAATGCCATTTAATCCTGAAAGGCATTACATGCTGCACTGGTAGTTATGGTCAAGACTGTCTGACAGCTGCCTGATGTATTCAGTTACCCCCCTTTTTTTTAACTGAGCATATTTTTAATGCTTTTGCTTGTGTGTATATACTCCAGAGCCTTGCAGACTGTTTTGTTCAATGTTGTCTTTCTGATAACCAACCACAACTTAAAGAATGATGTAAACCCTTGCAGTGAATTTCTTTATTTCTCATATATTCTGGAGAAAGTTTCTTTTATTGTATTGTAATAGTCACACATTATTCCTTAACCTCTAGTTTGAATATAAAATTCTGGGGCTAGGAAATTTATTCTTTTGAGTTTGGTGTGATTTTGCAAACAGTTTTGAGTTTACTCTCTGCTGAGCTTTTGCAAGCCGTATTTTTCTTGAATGATACATCCATGTAGCTTCAGTTTCACGTACTGAGAATACTTATGAGGGCAACTGGGGAAATCCAAAGAACATTAATACTGTGTTCTTTCTTAAACCCATATGGTGGCAGAGAAACAACTGTTGCTCATCCATGGTTTATTTTGATCATCCCCAGAAATAACATTAGCTGTCTCAACTGATTGGCTTTGTAATACATCAACAAACATAAGCTTGGTGGTACTGATAAATCTTCCTTATTTATATCTTTATTCATACTGCATTTATATATTCTGTGAGTCCCCTCCCTTTTTTGTGTGAATAAATGTACTGAGAATGCCCTGACAAACTGATGTGATCTTTAGGGCAATAATAAATAAAATTTGAAAAAAGAAAACTTAAGTTTAGGAAGCAGGCGCACGTCAGATTCCTTTTCATCATGTAAATATCTAGTGGTTTATAGTTGGTCTAAATTTGGATTATTCGTTTTTAATGTGGACGTTAGCCCAAATTTACCCAGTCTCTGCTTAATTTCAGAAATAATGTTAATGGATCCAAAAGCAGCAGCATCATACCAAACAGGGTCACATTTTGATGGGAGTGTATTTGATAATCTCCGCTTAAAACCTCTGAAGAGAAGAATTTTCTTAGAATTTTTCTTAGAATCCATTGAATTCACCTTCACCGTGGATGAAGTACACCCCATATACAACGACTTTAACAGTTTTAATCAGTGAGTTCTAAATCTGAAAGTTTGAAAGGAGCAGGAAACACAATTCTACCTCCTGACTTCCCAGATAGCAGCAGGATATCTTAATAATTTCTCAAGAAGGGAAAAGAACAGAAATATTTGGCTTTGTTTGGGGAGAATTAATGTGAATCAGGGCATGAGCTGCTTCTATTCCCCCCCCATTGATCTCCATCAAACTGCCTAAAAATGCTTTATCTGTTGCAGTGTCCATCCTTTAGAATACCATTCTTTGTGAAATTCAGATGGCTCCAACCTTATCAGTATTTTAAAACTTAGCTATTCCCACGGGCCTTGAGCTGGCATCTAAAGTTAGTCTAGTTGCAGAGTTTATATCTGTAGGATGAACTAGAACTTGCTAAGGGACTCCATTGCATTAAAGATCGCATGGCGTCTATTTTTGCTGGGTTTTATTGCTATGGTTTTAATCTGTTCTTAGCTGTCCTGTGTCATGGAAGAAAGATGGGCAGCCATATGAATTTTTTGTAAGTTTGTATAAATAAATCTAACAATTCTGGCGGTGCAGTTTCTACCCATTGTCTGGTGTGCACTGCATGCAGTGGTGGAGAATTAAGAGCTAGAAGTGAAGCAATTACAGGACAAGAAAATGTGTTAAGCTGATTCTCATATATTATGTTACTCTGTTAGAAGAGGTTGCACATAAATCTCCCAAGAAACTTGAACATCAGGATATTTTAACAAGACTGCAATCAGTTTTCTCACTCACTTATAAAAAAAAGGAGCTGGTAACTCCCAATCACCTATTTTACAGGAACTTTTCTGTCTGCTGTAAATGTTAACAAGTACAGGGGACAAAACAGATTCAAAAGATCTGATCTATCTGCTTCTCCACACATTGGGGTTCTTGTGGATGTACTATTTTCTAGAAAGCTAACTAGATGTATCACTCCATTATATGCGTCACTTATGTTCCAAGGAGAGAAAATTGTGCAATCAAAAGAAAACATGTACAAGCTGTTAAACCCAAAATATTCTGAGGACAAGAGAAACATCACAATAAACAGTTTCCAGCTTGGATATCAACATAAAGCAGAAAGGCTGGGAAGAAGGAAAAACCATAAGATGTGTTTCCCCTATGGCACAATAACTACATGTGTTTGAGTTTGCTCCATACAGCTAGCATGGAGTTTATTCCCAAGGTCTTCAGAACTCATTCCAGACATTTATTCTTTGTTCAAGAAATAATGATGAGGCAATTTCTATGTATAGATATCCCATCTCAGTTGTCTAACAAGCTTTGTGTAGAACAGAACAAGTACCTCTTGTCCCTGCACTCTCATGTTCTCATGAAATGCATCAGTTGGGATTGTGTTTCAAATGCAGGCAAAAAAAATGTTGTTTTGAAAGCATGTCAGAGAAGAGAAGGAATTGGTGGGGAGGGAAAGAAGCATAAATAAGGCATCGCACTTGGGATTTCCTGACTCGGCAGGAACAATCACAATAGTTACCTTGCAACCTAATCTTCTGTCCAAGCAAAAGTTAGAAGGGTTGGAACACTTTAACTTAGAAAACATGTTCCTAATCTATTTCATAGAATTTAATATAAAATGATGCATCTTGTAAAGGAAGTACATTGAAAGCATTTTTCTTCCCTGTCATATTGACTAAGAGTCAATCAGTGAAGTGGTCTGGCAGTAGAAGGATGGACTTCTTCACACAACACTTCATTAAACTATGGAACCCGTTGCTATGATTTCATGACAAATTAACCATATTAATGCACTCATGATGGCTATATGGAATCTTCACGTCTCTTTACAGAATATCTTTTAATATCAGTTGCAGGGATAGAGTGGGGAGAAATGTTGGTGGGTTACTATTTCAGATCCTGCTGGGAGGAATCTCAGGCATCTGATCAGTAACCTGGACAGTTCATGGAACATATACAACATTAAAATATAAAGCAAAACAAAGAAAATATGTGCTTCATTCATTCTAAAACAATTTTACTGGTTCCAATTATTTCAACAGACTAGAAAAGTTTCTCCATTCTGATGTTCTCCAGATGTTTACTGGACTACAATTCTCATATTCTCTGTTTGGCCACCTTGGTGGGAGGTGGGAACTGTAATCCAATATACCTCGAGAAAGTCAGACTGTGGGAAACTGCTCTAGAACTAAGAAATATTTTTCTTTAGCTGAATAACAAGGGGAAAATATATTTATATTTTTTGTTTATATATTAGAAAGACAAATGCACACATATGCAGATGGACTTACTTTTCTAGGTTTGACTTTATCTTGCAAGTCGTACTGGCCAATTCCTTTATAACTGATCCCAAGCCACCAAGGGATGCCTTGTTTATCCTATGGCAGAGAAGAATAGAAGTTCTAAGGCTTTAGCAAGAGTCAAAAACTTCAGAGTTGATATAAGGTTTCTTTGCTTCATTCTGCAACAAGTATAAGCAGGTTAGGGAGATGAAGGCAGCCCTTTGTTAGCACACCTGTGGCTGACAGAGGAGGTTTATTGTTTGAAGGGGTCCGCTATTCCTTTCCCAGCTGGAAGATGCTATGCAAACAGCCACAGAGCAGTAGGGAAGAGAAACTGCTGTAGTCTTTGAAAACATGGCTAGAGGTGGGGCAGACATCGAAGAAAATCTGTGGGAGGTGAGCAACAACAGTAAAAGAAGATTTGATGAGGGACAAGTCCAAAATAAGGCTGAACTGTTGAGGGAAAGGAATGGGCTGTGTACACACTTTGCACAGTTCCATATGTATTTACTCAGACGTACACTTTATACAGCCTTTATAAGTCCATAAATTACTTTAAGTGCACATATGAAAAAGCAGAAGGTTAGAGCAAATGGTTATTCTTTATTTGAAGAGAAAATTGAACTGACAAATTTTCTTGGTGATTTCATCTTCCACGGAGCTCTTTTCAATGAAGGACAATATTTGTAGCTCAAGATTAAAATGAGGAGTCCTTGGTGCTCTTTGAGCTGGGTTGTTTTCTTGCAGACCTTTCGTTCCTAAACTAGGTAACATGTCAGTGATAGTAAGGAGTAGGGTTTGCTCTCCGTTTATATTCTAGTGGCTTGCCCTGTCAGTGTTGGTGAGAATGGTTTTGGGAGGAGCTCTTTTTCAAGCAACAAAACAGTAAATTATAGTACTGTACAATAGTAAGGGTCCCCAACCTGTGGGCTGTGGCCCATTGGCCACTGGTCCACATGAGTGGCTAGCCAGTGTATGTGCACACACACACCACTCGCACTCAGGTCACTGCGAGGCCACTACTATCGCCATGAGCGTTGCGAACCCTGCTTGCGCATGCACATACACACATAAAGGTGCCTCGCTCCCCAGAGCCACCAACCCAAAAGGTTGGGGAACTCTGCAATAAGGCATTATTTCTATAACTTCTTAAAGCAACTCTGTAAAGTACGTTCAAAGAGCTAGTGAGATGTCCTGATTAAATTGCTGAACCCGGAGTAAGGAAATGCGGGTTCTGGTGCTTCCTTAGGCATGGAGATTTTGGGCGATTTTGGGCCAGTTACTTACTTTCATCCCTAGATTAAAAAACTGAAAAACATCATGGCAGGCTGCCAATGATAATACCACTACTGCAGGTTGCCAAGAAATATTCACAGACCTGTCCATGAAGTCATCAATACTACAAGAAAAAGAAGTTGGGGAAGGGGGTAAATTACTGTATTATTAAATTGTTTGTGGCTAAAATTAACCAACTATCTCTAGGTCAAAACCAGCAAAAAATAAATTAAAGGAGAACTAAAGAAGCCAGAGACTCCAAACACAATTTATACATGGAGTTGACTCCATTTTTTTTCCTAAGAAAAGAAAAGTGATTTTCGCTCATTTTATTTTAGAGGGAAGTTTTGGAAAGCAATTCTAAACTGCTAAAAATAAGATGCCATTATTGTAATCCTCCCAGGGGACAGAGCAGCTTTAGATCTAATAGCTTCAATGTCATCTCCAAACCATACCCCAGAAGACCCCATTTTAAAGAACTGACAGTTGTGCTGCAGGGAAATTGCCAACAGTACTTTCAATAATGGAAGGCTTTTACTCCTCCGTCACAATTTCTTCAATACCAGTAGATGCCAACAAATGAACATCAGGCCCAAATAGCAATAGCACTTACATCAGGCCCAAATAGCAATAGCAGTGCTTTACAGCCCTCTCTAAGTGGTTTACAGAGTCAGTATATTGCCCCCAACAATCTGGGTCCTCATTTTACCAACTGAGTCAACCTTGAGCCTGGTGAGATTCGAACTGCCAAACTGCAGGCAACCAGCAAGCAGCAGAAGTAGCCTGCAGTACTGCATTCTAACCACTGCACCGCCACATCTCTTAATCCACTCTATTCTTCAATTATTTGTTACCCACAGTGTAAATGTGAGCATTCCATGAAAATGAAAAGATTCTACAATTTTACTGAGGCTATAAAATGTGGAGAATGTGGGGAAAAACTATTCAGGATAGGGATCTCTAAATTCCCCATCAAAATGGGGATTTGTGAAATCCAAGACATTTTTGAAAAGTTTGAAAAAGTGCTCATTCGCTACACAGGGTCAATCTACATGTAAAGAAAAGCATGAGTATGACCAGATGATATATATGCCTCTGGCAGGATGTTGCTGTTCATATACATATCATTACAGTTTGAGTGCAGTTTCAGATGGCATGGATCTATTTGCTTTGTTATTAATATAACAGTACGTCTTCTTGAATGCTAGCCCGTTAATGTAATGTAAGTACTAGCTTCTAGAGGTTTTATTCACAGAGATGCAAAATGCTATTTGTGTTATTCTAATCAACTAACATTGTAGCTCTGAATGGGATAAAAGAAACCCCAACCCTCTTAAATAAATTATAGGAACTTAAATACTGTCTGCTAGGCAAAAGATAGAACATTCTAAATGAAAAATTAACATGTTATATCTTGCAATATGTTAACAATGCTCTTCCTGCCTATTTTTGTTATTTCTTAAAAACAAAGGAAGGCACTCCATGTTCATGTAATCTTTTCACTATTTTCTGTGACTGGCAATTCTCCAGGACCTTAAGCCAAAGTCCTTGCCATCTCCTGATAACCAGGTGAATGATTATTGAAAACCATCACCTAAGTATAAGATCTGCATTTGTGCAGACTCTACTCAAGGTGGATCCAGGGAAGCCAAATCATGAGCAGCTGTATAAGTAAAGACTTTGTTTCTGAAGAGAATGAAGGGCGAAGAGGATCCAGAATGTTCTCATGATCTGAGAAAAGTAAAAAGAGCTGAGCTGAAAAGGTAAAAATCCTTAAATGGGGGCACTATGACATGCCGACATCTTCTTACTCGTTTTGTTCAAATGAGTTGCTTTTATTAAAAGGAAAAATGCATACAACAGTTTACTCAGTTTTGTTTTTGTACTCACTAACCTTCACTCCATAATAATGGATCCCATAAGTAGGCAGGGCTTCAACCAACTTCATGTACCTGCATGGACAGATATACAGCTTCTTCAGTAATATCTTCTACTAATACACATTACCTGAATGATGTCTTTGGATTCATTGATTCATTCTCATTCTCACTCTTTCTCCCCTCCCTCCCTCTCTCTAATTTTGAAACTGCCCAACTGCTTCACAGAGGGACTCTAGGAAGAATTTTAGTTTTCAAATCAAAATGTTTTAGATGCTTTAATTATATAAAGCATCAATCAACATTAATAGTGAAGTCTGTGTACAAACAAGTTCAAGCACAGCAACAAACTAGTTAACATTTCAAAGGAGATTATTAAATTAGAGCCAGTCTTTTTTTATAATCCCCTTTCTGCCCTCAATCCCCCTGAAGCTCTCGGGGTTGCCAGGTACTTCCCTGAAAGTATTCCCTTGTTATAACAACCAAACTCCATCAAGAACTTGGCTTCAATTCTAGCAATTGAGCTCTCTGCAATACTAGTCCAAAATGTTTTCCAAGTTTAGCTCTTGGAAGTGTTCAGTTCTTCTAAATCAGCTTCATTGTAAATGTAGCTTGGCCACTTTGAGTGCATGTTAGCCTTCCCAAGTAACCAGACAGGAAAACAAGAGTAGAAGTGTTATATCTACTTTATTGTAAGGCTACATAAATCTTCCAAGTCTGACAGTACAAAATCTCACCTCCAATTTTACGTGTTTGATTGATTAGGGCAGGTCCTTTCTAAGTTTCTTCCTCTATGTATTAATCTATGGGGGGCTCTCTTATCTGATTGTTTCCTAGGTAGCATCTCTTCCCACACCATTTCCCAAGTTCATTCCCTTATTCCGATACAGTGCATAACATAAATCTGAACGACAATATGTTTGAATCCTACAGGCCTTGATCCGCTAAGCATCCACTCATAGGATACAGTTGCTTATACAGCTTTTGCTGCTGGATTGGTTTCTGGTTTATCTCTAGGTTGGAAGGCATTGTTCAGCGGATAAATATGCTATCAACCTCAAGTGAGAGGACAGCAGGGACATGGAGGAAGAAGAGCAATGTGTCGGAAGATAATGAGCCAGTCTAAAATGTTTCAGGCTTGCAGAGATAGTTCCAAAGCTTGTTTTACATGGATTACTGTACTCAGAAAGGGTCAGCCTCAATCACAATAGCTGTCAATAGTTCAGAACAGGGCTGAAATCTGTTCTGTGCTGTAACCTCTCCCATTAATAGATGTTTGCCTTATGAGGTAAACCAGATAGGAAACACAACCAGATGAGCCAATTCTGCTTTTTTTTGAGTAAGATTATATTAACAGAATCTTGCAAGTCTGACAGGTCTTCTCCTCCCTACTCTTTACAGTCTAAAAACTAGAGAGGGTTTCTTCTGCACTTTTTGCCCAGCCCACATTCCTGCTAAGGGAGCTAAGCTGCCTTTTATCAGTTAACCCTTGGTTGCGTCTCATTGTCTTGTCTTCCAAGATCATTCCCACATACCATTAAAAGAGCCAAAAAACACTTACTGAACAATCGCTTGTCCTCTAGTCAGCCCCTTGTTCTTAATGTAATGTTGGATTACTCTGTCTTCACTGGGGGAAAAAAGCGAAAAGAGTTTATTAACAGAGGAAGAAGGGTTTTAGATCCTGCGCTGCTCCAAATGCATCCCAGCCGGACAAAACATTCCACAGAATCTCTCTGTGAAGTATACCCCTTACACCAGGAATGTCAAACTCACGTCGTCGTTGTTATAGCAGCATCATGGTGCTTTTTCCCCCTTCACTAAACTGGACATGGGCGTGGTCAGTGCATGACGCATCTAGCCCGCGGGCCGTGAGTTTGGCAGCCCTGCCCTACACATTCTGTCCACCCACAAAATGGATGCTCCAAGTTTAGGATGGCACAGGATGGAATTACAGGTTAAGCCTCTTCTAGAGAAAGTACTTTATAGCCTGGATGTGCACCATTTCATAAAAAGTAACTGTGGTGAAAGGGAACTGCGGTGACTATAAAGTTAGCAGAGCTATGTCAGGTTGTAAAAAAACAAAACAAAACACAGCCTCTGCCCAATGCCTTTCAGATATGCTGGCCTACGATTTTGATTACTCCTACCCTCCTAGCAAGATTAATGACTGGGTTTTTCTGACACACACACACTGAGACACACATCTTCCTTCCTTCCTTTCCTAAATACAACTTAAAATATTTGCAGACAGAGCAAAAGTGAAACCTTTTATTTTCTTGTATGATTTGAGGCATATGGCAGTAATCTCATAATGACAGTGAAGTTATTTACCACAAAATTATCATGTGATAAAGAGGTTAATGTGGTGATACGGGACTAGGCAATCCTAGATTCAAATCTGCAATTCACATTAAATTTGCTGTCTCACTGTCTGCTACATCTAAAAAGATCATGGAGTGGAACTCTCCTATTCTGAATGTGAAATGGGTTGTTTCAACCATTTTGGAAGATTTCATGCTTGTGTCCTTAAAACTGAGCTATTTTGAGCTTGAAGCACTTCCAAAATGATTGAGATAAGGTGGTGAAGATGTGAACATGGTCATGAGTTTTGAAACATTTTCCATATTGCCCTGTGAAAGAATATGGTTCAACAATCATGACTAATATGTCCCTATTTTTCTCTTTTTCCGTTCCCATCCCATGGTGAAAAAAGGTATATGTTATCTTACTTGATTACATTTGTTTCTTGAGCATCAAAAATTAGGTCAGCCTGCATACTTCTTGAATGAGTAGAAGCTACACAAATACATTATGTACTCATGAATAAGCTGAGAATTTTAGATACCAAAATATACTCCAAAAATTGGGTTCTGATTATCCACGGATGGATTTATCCATAAGAATATACAGTAATGCTTCTTAATGTATATCTAAATATATTTCACTTATAAACCCATCCCTGAATAAACTGATCCTTGAATTTTCAAACAAAACACCATGAAAAATGGCTAATCTGTGGGTTATTCATGGATAAGCCAATTATGAAAATTAAAACACATGAACATTTCAAGGATCGACTTATTTGTAGGTACTGCAATTTCCTTGATATTTTAAAAGTAAGAAATTTGAGGGTTGGCTCATCCGCAAATGGGTTTATGCACAAATATATACAATATTCAGTATAATCAGATTTGACTCCAAGGACTTATATAGAAACTAGTATAAAAAACTTCCACAAGGCAAATGGTGACACTATTAGCAACCATAACACTAGAATTCAATTCATTTGCTCACCTTCCAGTATTATTAATGATTTGCTATCAGTGCACTTGTGCATTCTACATGGACCAAATGGGCAAGTGCCTATACAATATAATTGAAACAAATCTTGACAACATAATTCACAACATTCTAGAACAAAGGGAGAAAGGAAAGCTTATAAAGACATATTTTACAGACTAAGTTGGCCATTCTGGAAGAAAGAAACTTCCAAGACAGATTACAACATAAAACAGCTGAGCTTCAAGAGAGTCAGTTCTCTTATAACCCAAGCAATGTCAGATGAATGAATGAATGAATGAATACACGTAAGTATACCTACATATAATACTATAGACCAGACTTTCTGAACCTTGGCAACTGTTGTGTTAATTTAACCCCCAGAATTCCCCAGCCAAGTATGGGGAATAACACCGTCATAAGCTGTTAATTAATTTGCAAAATGTATTTACCTTCAAATGAGATAAATTTATAAAGAAAGAGTAACAATTCTCTCTTCCCATGTTCTCCATATTCTTGAAATTAGGATTTGACTACGAACCTCAAGTCAGTGCTGATTCCTAGAGATGTCTTTAAAAAGGGAATGATCCCTATAGCTGTGATTGCTTTATAGAAGCATTGTATTAGGAGGCAACAATAGAGAGGACTTACTTCTACTTTTATGCCTTGGTTGTGGCTTTCCCAGCAGCAACTGGTTGGCTGTTGTGAAACAAAGTATGTTGGGCCCAATGGACTTATGGTTTTATGCATCAAGAACTCTTACACTTATTTTCCCAAGATGACTATAGGAACTCATTGTTCGTATTAGTAATCACAAGTTATAATTTAAGTATGACCTAGGGCTGCCTGATTTTTTTTTTAGAAAAATCCAGTGATTTGAGTAACTATATTGCAGAAAGTAATGCCACATTGATATTAAATGTTCCCCTTCCAAGGAAAAATAGAAACTCCTTTTATTATACTGCAATGAAAAATGTGTAGGTCTGATTATACGGAGAGGAATTAAAACAAGCAAGATTTTGTTTCTTTGTGAACAAGCTAATCTCTAATTATCTGCATGATATCCTAGGGCTCTAAGTAAGTGGTTCTGCTTTTGGGGTTCCCAAGAAATTCACCTTTGTGAATTTTTCTATGACATATCATTGTTACAGAAAAAGCTAGTGACTTACCAGAGGATACAAAGTCTATTCCACTGTATGGTTAGGCTTCTAAAATCCTTGCATAACCATGCCCAGGATTACAACCCAAAGGGGTAAGCTATCATAAACTATAATAGTCACACACTATTATTTGCAGTATTCTTCATTAAATTCATGTAGAAGAAAATTTTACAATAACAACTTGACAATGATGGACTTCTAATGATAAGATTGCAGCATATTTTTATTACAAAACTTTGCCACAAGGAAGCCTGGAAACAGCTGTATAATTAATAACTAGCTTTTCCTAACGTTGTGCTCTCCAGGTGTATCCACCATGCTGACCTGAAATTCTGGAAGTTTCAGACTCAACTCACTGGAGGACATTGGTTACGGAAGGTCAGGGAAACCTCTGGAAAGCAAAGTGCCATTTGCAAACGTTCAGAAAATGGCCGCAGTGGCTCAAAACACCTGAGTTTTACTCACCTGCAACCCTAGTCATGTGTTTCAGGTGTTTAGTTTTATTCAGTATTCAATATGTTACTCCTGATTAGCTGTATCAAAGATTGCAAACTGAGACTCTTTCAGAAAGGGTGGCTAGTAGACATACATTTCTTTGTTATTTATAGTCCTCAACTTACAACCATTTGTTTAGGTGACTGTTCGAAGTTACAATAACACTGAAAAAAGTGAGTTATCACCGTTTTTCATGCTTATAACCATTGCAGCATCCCCATGGTCACATGATCAAAATTTGGACGTTTGGCAACCGGCTGGTATTTATGATGGTGCAGTATCCTGGGGTCATGTGGTCACCTTTTGCACCCTTCCAATAAGCAAAGTCAACGGAGAAGCCAAATTCACTTAACAACCATGTTGCTAATTTAACAACTGAAGTAAATTCACTTAACTGTGGCCAGAAAGATCATAAAATGGGACAAAACTCACTTTACACTGTCTTGCTTAGCAATAGAAATGTTGGGCTCAATTGTGGTCATAAGTTAAGGACTATCTGGAGTTGGATATTGTATCTTATTTTATAACCTAATAAAAATTTCTGGATACTGTTCTCTTAAGCAAGTAAACTTATTTTTATATCCTGAGGTTGGACTCTAATATATTTATAGCCTCCTAAACTTTGGTAACATTTATTTCCAGAGTTTGGATCAATCTTATTTGTCTGATAAGATTTTTCAAGCAATCAGAACAGGAAGAAAAGTTCCACAGTGCCATAATAATACCAGGGTGTTAAAATGTGTTCAGCAGATAGTGTATTTTATTTTTTAAAGCAGAAGGATAGAAGGTAGCAGCCATGGACTCCAAAATGCTTATGAAATGTTTCTGGGAGAAATGAAGGCCTCACTTTCCACATGGCTTCTATTTTTTTTAAATATTCTTTCAATTAAATAATAATAATTAAATAGGGAGATGTTATGTCACAAAGTGTTTATCCTGTGGTATTATCTGTATTTAGAAAAATGCCTTTGGGTTCCATGTAAGCTTTGTAAGCATTAAAAATGATGCTTGGTTTGGAAATTTGCCCACCTGCCCAGAAAAAAGACAAAGGTAAGCTGGAATAGAGCCGAAAATCTTAGGAGAAGAGTTAATTAAGGAATTAGAGGGGTTGGTAGGAGCAACCACACCAGTTTTTCTTCTGAAAAACTGTTGGTTCTTTTGTGACTTGTAACACAAGGTTTACAACAGCCATTTTGAATTCAAAGCTTTTCCCATTATGTGACCTTGGATATTACTGTCTATGGTTCACAAATTTATAAATTGATAAAGAGAATACAAAGAGAAGGCCAGTATCCTAATATGATACACCTAAACATTTAATAATTAGGTCTTACCAATAGGCAAGTGAAGGATGCTCCTGCAAAGTCTTGGGAGGAAATGCAGGCAAGTTCTTCAGAGCTTTTCTTGCATTTTCGTCACTTGAAAAGGACAAAAAAGAATAGCAAAGTATTATTATCTTAGAATCAAAATGATGATCGTTTCCATTAACCTAAAGTTCCCAATTTTAATCACGGTATAGTTCAGGGGTGTCAAACTCTATTTCACTGAGGGCCGCATCAGGGTTGTGTTTGACCTGAGGGGACAAGGGGCATGGCTAGGGTGTGTGGCTAGCTTGCACGGCCTCCCCGAGCTCCGTTTTCACTGGCAGAGGGCTGCAGGAGTCCATCATGGTTGAAAATGGAGCCCCGAACGGCCACACATGGCCTCCCCGAGCATTGTTTTTGCTGGCAGAGGTACCAGGGGCCAGTTTTTCGTTGTTTCCCGGGCGGCCCCGTGGGCCAGATCTAAATTGAGCTTGACACCCCTTGTTTAGTTCATGGTATATCTCACCTACCACAGCAGTCTAAACATGTACAATTTCTTGCATTACTGTTCTACACAAAATATGCTCACCTACATTACCATTTTGATTAAGAACACAGTGCTGCTAAGGAGATCCAGTTGTTGAGAAATAGATAAAGCAGAAGTAACTTTTACTGGCTGTGATTGCTTCCAGGATGGGGTTTTTGGTTTGTTTTTTTTGGTTATAGGATACGTGTTGGTTTGATAAAAGAACCCACAAATCTTTTAACATGAAAAAATGGATGCTAAAATTGTAAAAGCAATCCTGATTCTAAAAAGTTAAGAAAAATTACAGAGGAGAAAAAAACAGCTTCAAACTTTAACCTGCTTCAAGATGCAGAAATTGGGCAAAGTCCATTTAATTATTTTATGAAGGCAAAAGCATGTGTGGTTGCTGGCACAAAACAAGACAAACAAAAGCAGGCAGAATTTTTGGTTTGCGTGCATGCTTAAATAGCCCAGTCGGGTTCTGCAGGATTTTGGAATGCTATAACAGGGATCTGCAAGAACCAACATGAATTATCGATATCTAGGATTCACTGGGATGACTGAGTCATTACCAGATGTTTGATTTCCTGATGTTGCAGGTTAACAGGTGACTTCTTAAACAAGTTGTTTCATTCTTCAAAACTAGGCCACATCCTTAAATAATTTAGCACTGGAGGGATTATACATCATTGATAAAATCGACATTTAATTTTTCTGTAATTTCTGCCCTGGAATTATGAATACTGAAGTAGAAGTTATTGGGATGCACATCTTCGTTTAAGTTACTTTACAAGATGATGGATGTTAGGCTGAAAATCAGGGAGTCAAGATATGAAATAATAACTACAATAAATAAAAGTATTTCTTAAGTGAACAGAAGAAGAGCAGCATGCGGTGATTTTCTCCTTTATGAATTAAGGATCTTCTATCAAAAGACTCACTTCTCACTGAGGTAGCACAAGCATCTTTATAATAACTGGATAAACTTCAGGGCCATCATTAAAAGGGGCAGGTCTGAAATATTTTTCCAGTTTGGAGGAGTAAAATGATTTTAAGGGAAGAGATTAGTGGTTTGGGCCTTATAGAATTTTAAAATCTTCTAAGGGGGGGGGGGGGGGGAGGAAAGCATTTTGTTTATTTTGGGTTTCAGACTGCTAAGGGGAATTGCCGGGTACAGTAGGCTCCTTAAGTATCTGCAAAGGTTTAAATTCAGTTCACCCCTTAATTCCCTGCAAAAAAAAAAAATTCTGTTCTGGTTTCTGTTGTTTCAAAAGTTTGATTTTTTAAAAAAATCTGTATCTTAAACTTTGCATTCAAAAGCACATTTTACTACCAGAAAAAGGTACTCTCTCTTCTCAAACATAATTCTGTTCGTCCAAGGAAGATAACTGTTATGATCTCCAGATAAATTGGATTACACCTTGTATTTTCCTCAACCAGTATGAAGTCTGGACATGGATCATAGGAGTTGTAATAAAAACATAATTTTCCCTTTGCTATTTATCTAAACAAAAAATGCATATGTGAGTCAATAGGCAAATTCATTAGCATAACATGTTTCCTTCAGCTGTTCATCTGTATTCCAGGAAGCAATGAAAGAATTTAATTTCAATTATGAGTTCCTCAACAAAACATTTCTCAATGCCCAATTGCATGTTATTTTAAAGATGCCGACAGCATGGGGTGGAGGAAAGAAGGCTCCTTACTATAATTCTTAGATGAACACTTATATAAATGTTTTATCTATTTGCAAAAAATGTTATCCATTAAGATATGGGAATAGATTTTTGCATACAGAAACTAACTATAAGAGGTCTCAGAAACTATTGTGACTGCGGTAGCAGGCAGAGGATTAAAACTCCCATGTTTATTATAGGGATCTTACCCAAATTGGATCTTCTGCCCCTGCTCTATAGTAAAAAAAAAAAAAAAAGGCAGAAAATGCATAGTTGTCAACTACAGCTTTAAATAGCACATAATTTGGCCCAGGTGTCAAACTAAACATTAATTACACAGCATTCATTTCATCGCCCCCTTAATTCATTTACCCTACAATAGATGTGCAGAAACCTGATCCAGGCTCAATTTAAACCATGCATGTTGGGGAAACTTACACCTTCCCCCAACTTGATATTTCTAAGATCTCAACTCTCCCCTCCCACTCACCTGTCAAAAGAGAGGGGGGGGGGGAGAGAGAATAGATAAAGGTGACTCAAAAGGGAAAAAAAACTAAATAGAGGAATCAAATCCACCCAGGGGGTTATAATATTGGCCACAATCCTTATCAGATGTTCATAACAGAATTGTTGTATCCAATTCTGTAAATAGACCAACATTAAAAATCAAGCCTGTTTCCTTGTAATTTTCAATCAATTCTTTTAATTCAGTCAGCTACCACTATTTAAACATCCACCTTACATTCAATGTCTTACTTTCATAGTGATGGAAAGAAGAATATGGCAGTATTGTGAATGAATATGAGTAGAGCTGGCTGTAAATTATGGGAGGGGAAGAATAACAGAACTGAAAGTTGACAAGAATGTGAAGTTTCCTAACTGAGGATGTATAAGACACCCAAAGAATGTCAGGTGTCTATCTTGTCTTCAATGGATTAATTAGCTCTGTATAATGAAATGCTCACGAAGTTCCTTAGTCAACCCTAAACCTTTTTTTCTCATGAGTCATCAATGAAAGTGTAGTTTGATATTCACAAAACCCTCACGTGCCCCATTTTGCCCTGTGAATGCCTCTGGGACAAAAGGCACGGAAGATGAGTCGTCTCTAAGACTGTGACTATAAAAATAAACTGCCATTATGGAAATTTCTTCAATGAAAGAAATTCAGGGCTGGAGATTATAGACTTAGTAAACTGGAAAAAAGAATCTGAAGCTCAACAAAGCTTCAATCCCTTGTCTTTAAGGCTTAGCCGCCTTAACCTTCGGTGAACCCGGCATGACCCGGATGAGAGAGAGCTCACCGTTGTTATACCCATGCTACCATCAGGCAAAGAACAATTTAATAAAATAGCTAAAAACTTCAGGGAAAAAAAACCTGAATGATTTTACTAGAGATAAAAGAATTTTAAAAATCCAGTCAATCTGACTTGAGGGATGACTGACTGATGCAATGTAAAAATGGATTCCTGGACTTTATTTGAATGATTTTCAGGACTGGAGATGCCACTCTCAGCTCTTATCTATTATTACTTTTATTTCAGCAGCCACTGCATTTGGTTCCATTTGAATTCAGCTGAATATCTGCAGTTCATAATATATGGCCAATTAAGACCCAGTTCATGGAGACTGGAGTCAGATAGACAGCCATGTTTGGCCCCATGACAGGATGCTGAACAGAAAAGGTAAACAAAAGAAGATTTTTTAAAATCTTGTTTTCTATTCTGAACCACTAACATCAGCTCAGAACAGCAGTTTATCAGTTCCTAGTGAGTGAACAGGATAACATTCAAATAACTATTCTTAGAAGTCACCCATAAGTGGATTTCCCCCAGGGGTATTTTGAACTTAAAATCTTTTTCTTTGGGTCAGTATTTAATGGTCAGGGATAAAACAATCAGTTCTGTACTTGGTCCCTTATTTGGTGAATGTGACCCTTATAATGAAACATGTAAAATGAACTCTAATGAGAACATAACCTTATCAGAAAGTTGGAAAGAACTAAAATAGATGTGCACATTGTATTTTAACAAAGTTGTTTTATTTGCATTTGGATTATTTTTCTATAAACTTTCATGTTTCTTAATATAGATCAAAGTACTTTTTGAGTATGATTTAGTGTTCATCATTTAGTGGCATAAGTGTTCTAATTAGAAACACTTGACGGTAGTTGCCTTGTAGTTTATTTAGCTGTCCAGTATGTCAAATAAAAGCTTGTATTTGTTTAGATAATAAGAGGCGAATAATCAGAATGTCCTTGTTAAGAGGAAAGTAGATGGCAGTGTAAAACTGAAGCCATGGACATCAATGGTTATTAATCAGCAAATTATGTTGAAGATGACATTAAAGTTCAGAGAAAATTATACAATCAATCACATTCATCCAAAGGCTCATAATTATAATTAGAATCTATTCATTCTAACATGTATATTAAGCTCTTGGCTCAGTTCGTTTCTACATGAAAGAGTCACTCCACTTTGGAATATTACAAGAACAGCCAAAAGGTTATTCTGAGCAGGATCCAGAAAAAAAAAGGAAGGGCATAATTAATTATAACAATTTTGCTCTTAAACCTGTGATATAATCCCCTGAAATGTTTTAGATGCCTGATTAATGGTGGCCCATTAGCTAAAGAAACATTAAACAAACCACAAAATATTCTACTGAGATTTGAGATTAACAATTCACCTAAACTGATCTTATAATGCATAATTTCCCCCAACTTTGGATCCCTACCTTGTTGAACTCCACCTCTCATCTCTTATGACTATTGAGAAAATTTAATTTAATTGCTTTAATTTTGTTTTATTAAATTTTAAAAACTTTACAGTTAGATGAAAAAAAATCATTATACTTCAGTAGCTGCATATAATGTGATAAAGTTATGATATATGGCTGGGGAACCTGAAAATAAA